CCATTACACCAACTCTTCAAGCATTTTGCTTTGTATTATCATCACCAGCATCAACTGCTTTACTTACAGTTTCATCATCATCAGTATCTCCCTCTTCCCTTTCTTTTGAATATTGACCGGCATCACTTGGATACTTATTTATCAGTGAAGCCCAAGTACTTTTCATATTCACAGCGTTTTTAGTCACAGCCAAAATGACTTTCTTTGGACCAAAGTGATTCAAGATATTTTTAACAGGTCAGCAGTGTACTAGACAGCATGGTTATGATGCTCATTTGTGCATTGGAATAAGAAAAACACTGGTTTTGGCATTGTTAAGAAGTTAATGACACCCTCATTGTGAATATTGCTCCATCCATCAGACACTAGAGACAGATGAGAAGCTTATATAAGCCATTTCTTACTTGTGGCTTTGTAAATTGGACACAGTTTATGAAAGTACTCTAGCATATAAGTATTTTCAACTATATGAAATAGCGTACTGCTTGCATTATCTGTAGGAGAGAGAGAGATGTATGTTCAAGTTCCTTTTTTTGACCATTGTACATTCAATCTGGAGAACTCTTAATACCAATTTTAGTAGCAAGATGCTACTTCCCAGGAGTAAGAGCTCTTGATACTGAACTATGTGGAGTAGCAAAATTGTTAGTGGATGGGATAAAAATGGAACTACTTTTGCTTTCATTATCACTTGCATCTTCATTTAAGAGAATCTGTGCTTTGTGAAGATACTGCAGCAACGATAGAGTGGGACAATGCAAAGGGAAAAATAAAGTTTGATTCAGACAAGTTTGCCCTTCCTTGCTGTTTGACTATAGTATTCATAATCTGTTTTGAGAGTAGCTGGACCCCTAGCAAAGCGGTTCAACAAGTATTTCTCCATTCTACCTACACATGTCATATACTGGGAAGAACTGAAATCGCACTGAGCTTTAACAGCTTTTCCACATACCTTCCTACTAAAAATTTCCAAAGATATGATTTTGGCCTTCCTAATTATCCATAATTGAATGTCTTACAATATCTCTTGAATTTAATTTAGCTAGTAGCCTTCAGTGCATCTATGATATTCTAGACAACTAGGATCCAGTCCTTCGTCACAGCTTTACAGAGCAGACTGTCAGATCACCCAGTGGGGGTAGGTGGCCCCTCTTCCCTACAGCAACTGCAGTGACATAGGGGCAGTCATGACTTGTAGGCACTTGTGACCTGTGGCACTGTGGTGACTGCTTGTGTGTGTGTGTTTGGCTCCCTGCTTCCTGCAATTACAATAGATTGCCAGTAGAAAAAGCTTTACTATGCTGTTAGTTTGGGTTCCTTTTACAGCACACAGTAGCTCAGGTAGCCCTATGGGGCTTAATGGGGGAGTAAGGGAATTGCTCAAGAGAGAGGAACAGAGCAAGGGGTGCCTGCTCCTAAATGGCATGTGTGCATGTTTGCTTATACCAGGGATGCTCAACCTCTGGCCTACAGGCCAAATGCAACCCGTGGAGCCATTGCAGCTGGCCTGCAGGGTGGGCATTAATATCATCACCCTCCCCGCTGTCAAATTCCCAAGCTCCAAGTCCCAAACTGCTGGTTGCAGCTGGTCCATGCCCCCTTCCCTACATCTGGATCAGGGTTAGGCCACAGGCCAGGTTGGGGTCAAGCCATGCCTCCTTTCCCCACTGGGCTGGTTTGGGGCAGGCTATGCTCCTTTTTTCCCTG